AGGACAGAACAAAGCAAGTATCTTACCATTTCCTCCAATAGTTGACGAAAACAAGTTAGTGTAAATTGTTGAAATAGTTCATCTTGCTGGGGAGTACATGCGATTTCAAAAAAATTTTTCTGTTAAATTTACGAATATCAGAACGTCGCTGACATTTAACCACTGACTTTTGAAGTGTTTTTGCTGATGTTTATCCGCGCTCGGTTTGCTGAAATATTAGAATCTGTAAGTAAATCTGTTTTTAGAAAAATTTATAAACAGTGTAGTGGCTTACGTTATGAAGGCATGTAAAGGAGATTTGTATGAGTGCTCATAGAGGAAGATTTTCTGTAGGCGGTGCGGGAGAAAATTGTTGATAAAAGATGAGGTGCGGCGCCTTTTCCTTCATTAAAAATTATGTAAAAAATGGTATTCTTGCTCTAAATGAATTCGTAATCCTTTTACAAAGCTTCGTACCCTTTTTCGGGGAGTAGAGGGAGGAAGTACGCGCCTGCTCTCTATGTCCAGCAACCGGCACCTCCTCTTTGTGGCGCCCTTTTCTGAATCATGTTTTGATAGCAAGGAAGTCCTATACAATTCTTTTTCTATGTCGCACTTTTTAGGAACTACTGAGTCAGATTCTTGCCCCTGCAACATGCATAGTCGTATCCGTAACAGCTTCTACCACGCAAGGTAAATCGTTAGAACCAGAAGAACTGAATGCTGTGCGGGAGGCGTGCGATCTCGCTGAGAAACTGCATACGGTGACCTTCATTAAATGTGCTCTCTTACATCTCTTAGTTCATATATTTCAGGACAGGATTTCCATGTATCGGCTCATCGAAGTGCGAATGTCCTTAATTGCTCCAAACCTCGTTCACTTGTTAGGAGCAGCTACCACTGCGCTGCTGGTAGACAATTGATATTCTCACTGGTATCATTGCTTTTGATCAGATTTCTTAAGGTATCACAAGCCGGTGGATTGGCCCCTCTTTCAAGAATGCCCGCGTGTAACATCCAAGTGCTTGGCCGTCAAAAGCGATCATTGGCTGGATTTTCGTCTACCACAGCTCTGCCGCATGCTGGATTCGTTTATTTCCATCCGCTTGTACAGTCTATGCCGCCAGATTTAAAATCGTAAATTATTAGCTATTGGATGAGCTTTGAATTTGACTTCTATATAGTCAAAATCATCTCAAAAACGATAACTCAATTTTGATTTAACTTAATTTTGATTTGACCTTCTTA